CAAGTCCTCAGTCATCTGCTCCATTCTGACCTCTTCTCCCACTGATTGGCCGATTGGATGATTGACAGTCTTCCTCACCAGTCAGGAGTGACTGGTGAGGAAGCCTGTCATCATCCAATCAGCCAATCAGCGGGAGAAGAGGTCAGAATGGAGCAGATGACTAGGCTGTGACACGGAGTGGTTGAAGCAGACGGAGAAGACCACAGAAGGTTAGTACTGCCGCACCTCATGGGGCTGGGCACAAAAATGCTGTTTACCGGCATATATTATTTAAGAAAAAGAAAATAACTATGTAGATATTGCTAACTAAGACTTGTATCCCCCTAGTGGTGAAAATAGATGAGCACATGTCCAGACTGCAGACCAGAACACAGTGTGGCACAGCTATATCCAATTCTACATACCTGGCTTTATATTATAAGAAAATTTAATAATAATATAAAGCCAGTTATACAGAATTGGATACAGCTGTGCCACACTATACAATAATACACTGTTCTGGAGTCTGGGCATGTGATAATCTATTTTCCCCACTATAGGGATACAAGCCTTAGTTAGCAATCGCATGATAAATATTCATTTCATTATTCAAGGTCTTTTTTTTTATATTATAAAATGTTATAATATTTAAAAAAAGAAATTGATTAAATGAATATTTATCATGCCATTACTAAGGCTTGTATCCCCATAGTGGGGAAAATAGATGATCACATGTCCAGACTCCAGAACAGTGTATTATTGTATAGTGTGGCACAGCTGTATCCAATTCTGCATACATAGTTACATAGTATTTGAGGTTGAATAAAGACATTAGTCCATCAAGTCCAACCTATTAGGATCTCATTCTAGGAGTACCTGTACCCCTGTATATTACGGTCCCTTAAGAAATCGTCCAAAAGTTTCTTGAACAATTCCACATTCTTTGCTGAAATCACTGTCTGACTTATATTTTATAAATGCCGCTCTCTTGTCCTTGACGTGTTGTTTTACAGTTTTATTAAGCCATATTGGTTTAGTTTTTGATCTTTTATTTTTGCTCCCTAAAAGGTATACACTTTGAAGTAGCAGTATGTAGTGTGTTTTTAAAACAATCCCACATCTGGTCTGTGTTTAGGTTTTGAAAAACCTGGCTTTATATTATAAAGTTATTATAATATAAAGCCAGGTATGCAGAATTGGATATAGCTGTGCCACACTACAGAGTGTTTATGTTCTTCATAATATTAAGAAACTGGCCTAAAATCATGATTTTGTATTGCTTTAGAAAAAATGTGACCTGTCCCTTTAAGAAAAAGTATCGGTACTCGTACTCGGCCTTAAAAAAGTGGTATCGGTGCATCCCTATAAATAAAGTGAACACAAGGATTTCATCACCTTTATTTTGGATCACATCATTTTTGGGATTAATTTCTATATGGACTATATATAAGTTGGAGTGAACATTTTGTAAATATTGTCACAAAATATATGCACCTAGGAGGTTTATAGAAACGATTGGGGATAGCTAAGTGTTTTTTGTTTAATATAACACGCAGTGGAAGTGCATCCCCCTTACCCTTCTTAGTCGAGAACCCAGAATAGGCAAGTCTCAATCAGGCTGTCCACAACTTCCACATGCATGATTTATCTGACAATTCCCAAGTGAAGAGTATCCACATATAATTCACAAATGTGAGCCAGGGGAAGAAGAGGAAGTCTTCTTTAACCCAGCATAAAGCGTGAGCCTGGCTTCACACCTTGGACAATTGACACAAGAAACCCAATAATTTTGGGGCACACAGATAGCTGTTATTGTAGGAGAAAAGTACCGTATTTTTCGCTCCATAAGATGCACTTTTTCCTCCCCAAAAGGAGGGCAAAAATGTATGTGCGTCTTATGGAGCGAATATTCCCCCCCCCACACATGGCTCCCGCAGTGTGATATGCGTGTGTGAGCTGCTGAGGCGGAGGGCCTGACCACCGCCGTCACTGCAGGTGTGCGGACCTCATCCGGATGACACCCGCCACAGAGTGACACCAGTCCACGGTTTGCAGTTCTTTCCATTCAAGCCTGGAAGGAACTGCAATTGTGATCCAGGGGCGGAACTCCAGCCGGAGCTGCCGCCCCGGGGCCCAAGGCGGTTAGGGGGCCCACTGAGGTCCGGTCCCCAACTTCCACTCTGTTGGGAGGAACACTGGAAGGGATACTGAGTGGATACCCCTAAAAACAGCTGCGAAGAGTGATCGCCGCTCTCGATCACTGATGCGGCAGATGGTAGTGACAGTTGTACAGATTATTTTCTTCCTCAGCCGCTGCAGCCACAGAGCGGCCGAGGGGAGAAGAAACTATACAGCGGTCACTACTGTGTGCCGGCTTCAGTCGTGGGGAAGGCACCAGACAAGACTTCTGGAAGTTCAGGATCCATCCAAACTCTTCCAAGAGTGGAGGAACATAAAAAAAAAAATGTTTAGCTCCTGACGCTAGTGAAAATAAACTGGAGACTTGTCAACAGGTGGGGGTTTGGCCTAGGCTGTCTTTGTCTTTTGTTGTGTGCCTAGCGTCCTTCTCCTGCAGGTGGTGATATACCCCTACAGTACAGGATCTAAGATCTGTTGCACTGTGTCCTTCAATGAAAGGGAGAGATAAGTGAATTTAATACAAAGTTTGGATGTTGTAGATACCCTGTAACTTATCAGTGCCAAAAGTATAAGTAGTATAAGTATAAGATGTATTCATGTGGGATCACAGATAACTACTCCTAGGGGTCAACTAATTCGCAGTAGACATTTTGCAAAGTGTGAAACGGAGAGTCATATCTGTTATTATGTTACTGTGATATGTTTAATATCGGGAAAACTAAGAAGATGCAAAAAAAAAAAAAAAAAAAAACACAACAA